CTTAAATAAAAATAATCATTACGAAGCAGCATACACATCTCTATTAATTCCTCTACAGTGTAAAATATCCCTGTCAAACAATGCCAATTTCCTCACAAACTTAAAGGGGTAAGTCTATTGCAGAGCTCGGCAAAAGGTGCCCCTCCAAAGAATGTATATCTTCTCCAGCCACTGGATCCACTCCGACAACATTAGTTTTCTCCATCTTCACTTCTTGATACATGAGGTTTTAAGCAGAGTGGATCAAAATATTTTTGCCAAAACTTTATTTTTCTTTTGAAACTAAAATGTTTTACAAAATGGAATTTGCTGTTTCTGGCCAGCTCTAATATTATAGCAGAGAAGTCCCAAAGAAAGGACAATTTTGGGCAAGGAATTCTCTCATCTTGTGAAAGCATTTGGAGGAGGAATTCTTCACTGATGTAGAAATCCTCAAAGGGAAGCCTCCCTCCCCCTATACTTAACAATAAGGAATAAGCTTCAAAGGCTGCTAGGCAGAGATTGAAGCAATCTGTGTCTTGCTGAGAAAATTATCTTGTGCAAAGGGTTTGGGGGGATGTGTTTATGTCAGTTTTGACATTAAAGAAAGATCATCCATCCTCCTTCTTCTAGACTTTTCCTTTTGGTCTTCCCATCTAACAGAAAAAAATATATTTGTTTTGGATATATTCCAGGTGAAAACCTGTTTATACAGAATTGATCCCCTCCCCCAAAACAGAATTTGTACCCAACAGTAGTGACTAGAATTTAGTCCATTAATAGCCAAGGCATGCATTGTTTTGTCAAACATGACACCCTGGAACATAGCTCCTACCAATGAGACCTTTGTTCCCCAAGACAGTAACTAACAAAACTGGTAAAACCACCAGGTGATCCCAAAGATTTTCAGCCACTTCCTATCTCTAACTCGTTCCGCCACCAGTGCAGTGACATCCCAATCCAATCACTAATATTATTGTGAAGATCTAGTAACATTATAAGAGCTAATACTGTAGTATAGTTGTGTGAGCTCTGTAGGGTAGAACTCCTGAAGAAGCTTGTGCATATACTATCTGGTTGGTCTGGAGATTAAACCAAACTGCTGCATGAGGGAGGTTTGAGTTCACTGGGCAAACTTACAAGGAAAAGTCTTCCCTCTTGGCTGTTTCATTCCCTCTCACAGAGGCTATGGCATATAGGAAAGAGAGGAAGAAGGTAATACCTTTTAAATCATTTGCGAGCCCTCTAAAGGAGCTATATCTTCTGCAACTAGTCATGGCAGCAGTCTGTACATGGGTAGACTTGTGTTTAGTGTATGTGCTTAGTAAACACATTTATTTGAGACCCAAAAATGCCCATTATATTTCTTCCCATCATCTTTTCTCTGTGAACAGCAAAGCTTCTTCTGTTTTCCCACTGATCCCCAGGGACCACCTTACATGTGTTCATCTTTTCCTCCTCTCCCCACTCTTCCTTTTAGGCATGTGCGTGCTTGCTTGCTTCCTACCATGCTCTCCAAGACGGTCTAAAACATACTTTTCAAGTGGCTGATAACTAGGAGTGCTTGAAACATTCTTGAAAGGACCTTTTGGAAATGAGGCAAGGTGAAAGAGAAATGGGGGGAAAAAAGACTCCCTTTTTTCTGTTCTCATTTGCTTCTGCTGAACTTGGTGCGAGAACCACTACAATTCTTAGCGCTATAGAAACTGGAAGAGATACCTCAATAATGCTACTGTGTGGTGTGTATGCTTTAAAAACTTTGAAGAGAATACAGTCAGTACTCCTGGACTTCTACCAACTTGAGCTCAACAGAAATGGCTGGCAGCAGGAGGAAAGGGGACAAAAGGTAATTGCAAGAGACAAGCCATGGAGAGTTTGCCAGCTGAATGAACAATTTCAGCTGCTGTTTGCAAATGTTTTGAGAGCAAGAGCCAAGGTCTGTGAATATATTGATCCTTGAACCCGAAGTTCAGTTTGAGGGGGACTGATGCAGATGTTACACACAGCTCTAAATGTCAGGAACTTGTAGCAACTAAAAGACATTTTAAAAGGGCATAATGATGTAAAAGACTTTAAAATGGGATTAAATTGTAAAACAATCTTATACTAGATGTGACTGCATAAGCCTGAGAATTGGAGATGTTTGTTCTTAGTTCTGTGGGTTTCTGATACATTAACATACTAGACTGGCATTTCTAGGGCCAAAAACACGTGAAACAATTAAACTTTATTCTATTTAGTACCGTTGTGAAGACTGGGCATAAACCAAACATTATACACAGCTTGGCTCTGTAGGAGTATAATGAGGATTTTTAAGATACTCAATGTCTACATAACACATTTACTGCAGACCTGACTAATTAGCTCCACAGTCAAGTCTCAGCATCTACATGTGTGCCCTTTTAGGGTGCAGTAAACTAAATGCCGCTATTGGTTAATACTTGTAAACACAAGTACTATCCTGAGGAGGCATTATTTAGTGCATAGTAAAGTATGTGCAGATGCTGATAGGGCTCACTGGGGCATGAGGATGCTTCAGTGCAGGGGCTGCCAAGCCCCTCTGCAGCACACTGAGCTGGGTCAGAGCAGCCCTGAGCTGGCAGGCTGAATCCCTGAGCCCCCTTGCCAACTGGGGCTGTTCTGATCCGGAGTTTATTGTGTCACACTAATATTGTGTGTAGATGTGCCCAATGTCATTCATTTGGTCACTGGGATTTTTCCACTCATTCCCTACATCTGGGATTTTTTTCCTCAGATATTGTGGAAAGGCTTCCATGCAACTGCACAGCACCCAAATCTGAATCCTGTTTTTTAATGATGACCCTTAATTTGGTGAAGAAAAGACAGAGGGTTCAGACCCCTTCAAAGAATGTTTTCTTCAGAAAAGCAAACACCTGGTCTCTGCCATGGATAAGAAAGTTAAGAGCAGGAAGGAATAGCAATCTTTCACCTCAAGGCACATCAGATGTTTGCACAGCCCCTCTCAAAATCTAGTCGCAATTTCTTGTGTGCCTCAAAGAAATCCAAAGCCAGC